TCTGTTTCGAAGGAGGAACGGCTTGCTGCTGCTATCCAGCTGGATACTCCCGGCCACGAATGCTGTGCTGCTGCTGCTGCTGCTGCTGCGGAGGCCGTACGAGAGGATGCTAAGGAGTGTCGTCCGCCTCCACTTTGCTGCTGCTGCTGCAGGCGTCGTCGCATGTGTCTCTCCAAGTGCTGCAGTTTCGCAGCGGATGTGGAGAAGCGACGAGAGCAGCAGAAGCACAAAAACGGCTTCCCTGCATGCATCTGTTGCGACAGCGACGGCGAGGGCGGGGCCAGCAGCAGCTGCGCGTATATGAGGCAGTTGCCGATCACTTGCTGCTGCTGCTGCTGCTGCTGCCGCTGCCGCAGCCTGGCCACCAAAGAAATCAGCAACACTATTGCTAGAGGTGCAAGCTCAGAGACGCGCGCAGCGTACGTCGGGTGGCGAATGCAGTCGTATGCAGCTGCTGGAGCTGCCTGCGAGTTTGGCTGCCGCCGGTCTGTGCTTAGCTGCGTCTCGCGCTGGAAATGGCGTCGCAGAAAATCTGGCAGCAAAGACACTGAGAGCTTGCTGAGAGGCGCTGAGGTGGAGGGGTCGAAGTTGAGCGCAAGTGGCTCCTGCGCCGTGCTGTTGCTTCTCCCGGCAGCTGCCGCTGCAGCAGCCGACTGCTTGCTGCCAGTGCCCGACAAACCTGCTGCAGCAGCACGGTGCTGCTGCAATGACACAAACCGACAGAGGGAGCTGGGAGGGGGCAGCGACAACATAGCCACAGGGTCCTCAGATTCGGACGCCGCCTCGCAGAGGCTCTCCTCCCCTGGGCCACGGACGGGCCCCATGCCATCTAAAGGAGGCGCCACCATTTTTACACCGGCTAGGAACTCAGCAAGAAAACAGAATCAGGGAAACACGGCGTAAAGGGGCCCCCATGCGCCTCCCTACCCCGAGGCCGAGCCCGGTAGGAGACCCAAGGGAGCACTCAAGGATGCAGTTGCCCTCCGTTGCATTTTTTTTGTCTTCAGAAGGACAAGACGCAACGCAATCCGGCCTAAAAAGACAATGCGCTGCAAAGAGATGCTGCATGCATCTTGGGGCTTGCTCCGTATGCGCATGCCTCGTGACTATGCTTCTAGAATTCCACTGCTCTGGACATTATATTTGAATAAATTTTGTTGGGCTCTCATGTCAGAGACCCTTGCAGCTCTTTAACGCCGCGGTGGATATATGCATCCCCGTTTCTCTCGCCTTTTACCCGTGCTCACAGGCTCCCTGGTAACATTTTTAGGCTTTTTTAGCCCCATTTTTTTGTGTGTTCTGCTCACTTGGTAAAATGGCAGACCCTGCCACAAGAGCTGTGGTGGACAAGTTGCCGCTTTGCTCCATAAACGCTGGACCGAGGAGCCCGCAGTGGAACGATCGTCTCAAGGAGGAATATATGGCGCTCATTAGTTACTTGACTCTCGCCAAAGAGAATGACAAGGAATGGTTTAAAATAGAGGCTAACAAGGAAGGCACAGAGTGGGACACAGCACACAAATTCCACTACGCTGACACTGTATGCAGCTCATTGCGACAACTGTTTCAAACCCTGCAGAACCACTGAAAGGTTCTAATTGCATTCACTAGTGACTGGTCGCTCCACGTACCGAGTTTCCCGAGCTCATATGGTCCCTTACCAGGCACGCCTTCTGTACTGAGCTGCATCCGTCTGTGCCTTTGCTGGGCGACAGCAATGACGCATTGCCGTTTTGCTGCGGGTGAATTAGGTGGAGGGGCCGATGCTGGTGCATGTACGAGATGGCCAAGTACGAATTTGAACTAGCCTTTGATGTAAGACAGTAGGAACTGAGACGCACTCCAACAAGTACAAACACTGGCTTCTCCCAGCTTCCCGTCGCTGCACCGTTGGCATTATTCTTGCTGCAAGGGCATTTAACGCAGTGACGGCTCTCTGTACATATATAATTACACGTCTGTGAACTTCTGTATGCGTTTGCCCGAAAGCATGCGCATTCGAGCGAATATTTTGGGATGCTTGCACTCAGAGACCATTACAGGAATACTCGGATTTTTTTGCTGATGTGTAAATAGGTTTCTACGTAGGCGTGCAAATCTATGTATGCATATATATGTGTTCCCACAACTGAACACGGCTATGTGTGCAGCCGAGTATATGTTTTCGTGCTCTTGAGTATGCATAACAGCATACAGTGATGGTCATAAGATACGTACATGCGCACATACGAGTACCTAGACGCATGCATGCTAACTACTATTCGCTTTTCACGTCATTTTCCACTCTGCAGGTATTCATGTTTGAATTCCTGCTTGTACCTGCTGCTATGTCACCACTCAACAGTTTAGCTTTTCCGTGGGCTTTGTGAATGCTTTGTGAATGCTTTGTGAATGCACGAACAAGTGTAGGCGCCTTCACACATGCGTCGGACTCTGTGCAGGTTTTTGCCCTCGAATACATACCTGCATGTCTGTTTACTCTTTGGCTCTTGCATCAGTCAGATGCCGGGCAGGCCGAGCAGGCCCTTCGCTTTCGCTGTGCTCGATTTGTCCTTCTTTCTACAGATCCCTCCTACGTATCCTTTGACACCGATCGAGTTGCGGTTGCCGGAGCTTGACGGAAAGACAAGCAAGATGTACAGGTGCATCAACTTCTGCAAGCATACTTCTGTCTTTCTGTCTTTTCGCTGATTGCTGCTTGTTTATTTTTCCCCTGGTGGTTGTCTGCGCCGGTGCCTAGCCCTTGACGGCATGCTGCTTTCATATAAAGAGAAGCTTGCGTGGTTTTGCACGCAGAGGTGGGCGGATATGTTTGGACGCTCATTTTGCTCCTTTGTGGAACAAGAACGTCCCCAAGTTTGGCATAGCGCACGCGCTTGCTTTGGGGGTAAGTGCAGCTGTGGCTGCTGTTCACTTTGTTTGCTTCGACTGCGCTGGGGCGTGTTTTTGTCGCTTGGCTGTTCGCACAATGACCGCCGCCAGCAATCACAGTAGCTACTGTGCGTGTGTGCTGATTGCTGCAGCTAGGGCCCTGGCTGGCTGCTGAGGTGCCTTATCTTGTGGACACGGGGGTTATCATGGCTTCGTAGGTTAACTCTTTTAACTATAGTAACTGCTGGAGGAGGAGCTGATCGGCGCTGTAGATGCGTGTTTGTTCTTGGAAGCTTTTTGGTGACAGTGACGGAGAGCCGGCTGTAAAAAACTCTATCCTGTAAACTTCAACAAAAAATGAAACTGCGCAGCATAAGTGTAAGGCTTGCAGGCGCTGTATCTCTTCAGCCAAAGCGAAGAAGTAGACACTTAGCCCTAAACTAAACAAAAACTATGAATTATTCGCAAAGGGGGGCCCTCTGCCGCACCCTGTGTCACCATGCCCACAGGACTGCACACGATATGGTCTGCTTCGCTTCCATAGGTGTTGTTCATCACCTCACAGGAATTAGACGACTAGGGTAAAAGACACAGTTTATGGCCAGCACCCTGCGCATTTTCTCTTCCCTAAGATCGAAACAGAGGCAGAGAGGAGCCACATACAGGAACAGTACAGGGTGCAAGGCCTTGCGACAAGAACTGGACAGAAAATACGAACCACAATAACTACTGTGAATGCTGTCGGCGGTCATTGTGCGAGCAGCCAAGCGACAAAAACACGCCTCCGCGCGGTCGAAGCAAACAAAGTGAACAACAGCCACAGCTATGCTTACCCCCAAAGCAAGCGCGTGCTATGGCTGTCGCTGCAGCAGCTATTGCGCCGGAAAACCGAATGTCGTGCATTCATCCTACACATGCGCCACTTCTGTGCTTCTATCGGGCCACAAACGTTAGAAAAAGCCTTTCAGGTGCACTGAACACATAAAAAGGCGACAGAGGGCGTACTAGTGCAATGGGATATCCCACATCTGGCCACATCCGCTTTTTGTCTTTCTGCGGCCGAACATATTTGCTGGCGAATGCGCTGGGTGCCCCACGTAATGCGTATTTAGGGGCAGCTTGGGGATGCGGGGTGCGCAGAGAGATCTACTGCTTGGCTGTGTAGTGCAAGGGGGAATCAGTCCACCCCATTCATTCAATTATTCATGAGGGAGACACAGCGGCGTAACTATCGCTGATTAACGTTGTTCCCCCTGAAAACGAGACGGTCAAAACTAGTCTTCCCAGGTGAGGGCTCAAGTTGAGAATGTTATAGCTCACTTCTAGACTGGCGAGGCCAAAGAAAGCATCCTTAGCTGGGATGTTGAGGCGTGGTGGTCCACCGTGTCAGTGATCTAATTGCGATGAGCGAGTGACCCGACAGCAGTGACAACGAGAAATTTGAGGGCTTGCAAATGCATTAATCTACATATCTTATCTTTGCAGTGAAAAAGGTTCCAATTTTGTTTAGGCTTCCATGGATTTCAACGACTTGCGCGCTTGAGGACACAGCGCGCACCGCCCCGTGCGTGATGTTACCTTTGTGTCTTCTCGATGCTATTCCTGTGAAATATTATCTGAAACGAGTTCAACAGCTTCCAAATCAAATAAAGTGTAAAGGGTCCTTCTTCGGTACTTTATCTCTTGTAAGGCACACTCAAGCACATTTGCCTTGCACGTGGCCCAGGAATCTTAATTAGGATTTTTGCTTGTCTCCGGCTGCTAAACAATGCCCAAGGAATTTCGTAACTTTTGTACCTCAAAGACTATATTACCCTACCTTTGACATAATAACCTTCCCAACGACCTGAGCAAGAAGGGCACAAAGGTTGTTGTCCTGTATCGGCCTGGCTGAGGTGTGCGGAGGCTCTTTAAGTGACCTACCACGTGGCCTTGCAGGAGCACATAGCGTCTTTTTGACCTCTCTCTTGTCCTTATTTGTCGTTTGTTTTTGGCAGATGGTCAAACTCCCACGTTTCAAGCCAAAGCCAAAGGTGACCTTCCCCGTGAAGGCTAGTCAGAGCGGGAGCGTGGGGAGATGTCCTGGGCCCACCCTTTTAGCTGAAATGAGGGTTCATGGGGCCATATAAATGTCAAAAGAGCCAGGGTGCCCCCTGCCCGACTGGGCTTCCCTGTGTGCAGCGCCCTCGGCGACCTCGGAGCTGCTGCTGCTCAGCGTCGCAGTGCTGCAGCGGGAGTGTCTGGACAGTTTGTTCTGCAGCTCTGCGGCTAGGGCTACGGACTTTGCAGTCTCGTCTCAGGGGGATTTCACTGAATACGAGATTGAGCACCGCCTTTGGGCCATCCGCATGAGTGTGGGGTTGCCGGATGTGCCGCCTGTTTCCTTCCGTGAGATCGCTACTGCCACCTCACCCTTGCGAGCTAGATTGCCCTGGCTGCCCTTGGTGGACGCTGAAGCAGCCTTGGTTGCATCTCTTGCGAGTGACACTAGCCAGCAGGGTCCACCTTGGGGAGGAGGAAAGACTGGTGAGGCACTGCAGGCTGTTGCACGTCTCGCCCAAGTAGATCCTCCCTGGAGCTCCATTCTTACTTCTGCGTCTCAACGGCTTCCGCACGTACTGCTGAAGCTGCTGAAGCTAGTGGGCCCACACAGCCTGCAGCGCCAGCTCTTCGAAAGAACCCCAGCCACAGCTCATGAGGGAGAGCAGCAGCGGCTGGCGCCTGCAGGCGAGCTCGTGCTCGCTGTGTTGAGGCTTTGCCTGCAGCAGCAAGCTGCTTCCAGCCTTTGTAAAAGAAACGGTGGGGAGGGGAAAGTCCAGGCAGGGGGTTCACCGGGGGCCTCCAACGGCGAGTTGAGACACCAGCTTCTTCACACTCCTGTCCAACGTGACAGCAGCAACAGTGACGCGTTTCCTGCAGACACCGTAGAGGCAAAGAAGTTTTTGCAGCGGCTCGCTGCGGAGCGCGAGGCTCTCGAAACCTTGTCATGTACGTACACCTCAATGCATCACCAACAGAATGCAAAGATGACTTTCTAGCCTAGATCTCCGTTCGTGGGCTTTGAGCCGTGTTCCTTTGTCCCCCCGCTTCTCGTGTCAGTGTCTCTACGTTGCGTCAATCTTTTCATTCCCTGAAGGCTTGTTCTTTGCTGCTTTTGTTGTTTGGTTGTTTTCAAGGCTGCCTATATCGCTGACTGTGCCTCTGGATGCGCTTTAACTGCCTGCAGCTGCTGCCGCGTCTTCTCCTGTCTCTTGTCTTCTCTTTCTGGAACAGCTGCTGCAGCGCCCTCAACTTCAGCACCTGTATGCGTTCCAGGCTCCAGGGGAGGCGGTCTTACGGCAAGTGTTTTACGGCTATCTCCTCGGCTGTTTCGCCCCCGCCACCGCACCTCCTACAGAAGCCTCCCCCGGAGGTCTCAGGCTGGAGCTTTCCGCAGTATGCAGGGAGCTGATGGAAGCTGCGGGGGTGCCATCCCTCTGCCTTCTGGACATCAGTGACTGCAGCCCTAGGGAGGCTGAGGAGGAGATTCTTCCAGGAAAGCGTGTCAGCATATATAAACAAAAGACAAGCAGCGAAACTTGCCCTCAGGCTCAAACCCGAGAGGAGGCAGTGGCTCGAACTCATGCGACAGAGGGGGGAATTCTAAGCCCCCAGCACAGAGACGGGGAGGCGAACCGAAAAGGTGTGCTTCTGCTGCCCCCTGATGGCTGCGATGCTTCTGTCAGGGCATTTTGCTGCTTCTTGCACCCAAAACTCAGGCCAAGCACTCCGTGGCTTAGCTCGAATTCTTGCAGTGAGAGCGAGGCTGGGGGGGATAGCTGGAACTCATCTGCAAAGCCATGGCGGTCCGCAGACGCGTGGGGACTGAAGACAGAAACGCCCAGCGAACTAACTCCCAAGGGTCTCGATAACACGAGTACAATGTATTCCCCGCCCCAGGCTCAGAAGCACTTATGTAGAGGGTCTGAAGAACGAAGTGTTGCTGAAGAGCTGAGAGCCTTGGACGACGAACTGCGGCCTTCTATGAAGACAAACAGACAAAAAGGCCACCTGCTGCGGCTGCTGGCGAAGTGGCTAAGGACCCCTGCCTGGATTCATGGACTTGAGGGAGAAAACAGCCAAGGGACGGAAACTAGAAGAGAAAGGAGCTGCAAAAACAAACTCGAACTCTCCCCACTCCTCCTGCCATATGGGTCCTCAGTTACTGCCTTTGGAGACTGGGCGTCAGACCTGGACCTTGTGCTGCTGCTGCCGTTTACCTGCTGCAGCAGTGAGGAACACGACGGCAACAGTGATGCAGCCTCTCCACGAAGGAGCGCAGCTGCAGCTGCTGCTGCAGCTGCTGTTGCAGCTGAGTTGCAGAGTGCAGGAGTGAGAGGTAGCCTTAGCTTCTCGAGCTGTTACAGCTCTCCTGCTTCACCCAAGAGAATCTGTGGTGACAAAGCCGGAGATGAGCTTGAGGGACATGAGAGGGTCTTGAAGCCTCTCTTTTATGTTCGTCAATCCCGTTCTCGCGCGGAATGCGCTCTAATGCTGACGCGCCTGGAGGATCTAATCTGCGGAGAAGCCCAGCTGCAGAATCTCTTCACAAGTGTTGAAGTTGTTGTTCCTCACAGAGCTCCTCCGGTATTGCGCGGAGTCTACAAACACCCCAGAATACCTCGAAAACGCCGCTCAAGAAGTCCTACCTACCCTGTGACAGAAACTGGAGAGAATCCTCTTACAGGTTTTCTGAAGGTCCAGGGCCCAGCATGCGCGCCCACAGGCCTCGCCAGAGAGAGAAATGGTGCAGAGAAGAGGGGCTGCAGCTCAAAGGAAATTGCACCAAAAGAGGAACCTTGGGATGCAGAGGAAATAAGTGCCAACAGCACGTCCACAGTTTCATGTTCTGAACAAGGAGAAAGTAGCGAAGTTAATGACCTGCCACCCAAGCTGTCAGATCCAGGCTCACCCATAGAAAGACACAGCAGGCTGGGCCCCTTAGGACGGCCCACTTGTGCCACTCAGGGGCATCAAGAAGAAACCTGGCGCCCATGCACCAGCATCAAATTTGAAATAACTGTTGGATGCCCCTTGGGGGCCCTAAATACTCAGCTTTTGAAGGCGTACGGACAGTGCAGTCCCTTCCTGCCGCCCTTGGCTAGGCTTGTGAGGCATTGGGCAGATTGCAGGGGTTTGACAGGTCGGGCTTCATAAGTAACAGTTAAGGACCAGCTAGCTAAGTAATTAGCCACTGTGCTGCTTAGATATCCTACAGCATGCCGATGCCGTCATCAACTATTCTTTGAAAATCAAAGAGGTGCCACAGCTTTTGCAGCAAGGCTTCTTTGAATTGCCTTATCCATTTCTCAGGCGCTAGGAACAAGTCCACGCTCTACGAAAACCATTAAGTGCCTGGCCTTATTTCACTGGGAAATCTGCTGTCTTAGTGCCACTGTGTTGCTCAGGAACCCGAGATGGCTGTCTCTCCAGTTACGCCTGGTCCCTCTTGGTGGTATTCTTTTGTCTTTCCACCACTCCCCCGCTCTTGCCCCGCTTGCAGACCACTACTACTTTGCCAGCTGCGGCAACGCAGGACCAGCTCTCAAAAGTGCTATCCCGCCAAAGTTCAGAGGACCTCCAGGCTTCTCCCATTTGCCCGCAGCCCAGCGGCGAAGGCTTTTCCTGCACTCTGGGGGCCTCGCAGCCTAGCGTGATGCCTCTGGAGCTTGTTGAGGGCACGCATCACGTATGGTTCTTGAGCCCAGAGGCTCCAAACCCCACGGGCTCCAGGGCGTTAGATCTGCTGCGGCCAATTTACAAGAAAGCCAGCGAGTCGCAGCTGCTGGAACGCCTGCAGCACTACATTCCAGGCCATATCCTAGTGATGCCCCAAAATGCTAAGGCCCTCTCCACCGACAAAAATAAAGGCAGCGATTGCCTGCACCCAGGAAAGGGTGACATCTCTCACATAGGCCCACGTAGAGGCCAATCAGCGCACTCCGTGCCTGCCGTAGCTCACGTAGCTGACGGGAAGAGACCACTGGTCAATTTGGCTGACTTTGGCTACCCTGAAGGACTTTCCCAATCGAAGTTTCTTCTCCCCCTCAAGCAAAGAAAGAATCAGCGCAACACCCCTCTGCGAAAGGAAGACTGGGCTAACGTTGCTTCCTTATTTCATGCTTTCTTTGCATTTTATGGCTACAACTTTAACTCCTTTTCTCTCCTAGTGTCTCTGCAAGGATCAAGTCAGCGGTTTAAAGAGCCTATCTACAGACATAGCTCGAAAGTTGACAGCGTACACACGCATGAGACTCAAACAGGCTGCCCCGCTGTCGCCACATGCACGGAGGAACTGCCTCAAGTCTGCAGCAGCGACGAACGAAGCAAGAATTCAAAACTACAGGAAGAGACGGCCAGGTGCACACTGGAGTGTCAACAGGCTATTATGATGGGGAAAACAGCAGCGGAGAACCACGCTGCAGCACCTAAAGACACATGGGGCTCCGTAGGACATAAGCACTCAACCTCCTGCCTATTTGTAGAGGGTCAGGCCCTTGGAAGCCCCACAGAAGAAGTGCTTCAAGCACTGAGCAGGCAGCATGAAGGTGAGCAACACACTCATGCACTTCACGTGCTACTTGTGGGCAGCAGCAACAGTTGCTGCTTTTGCTGTAGTGGAGGTGCATTGATGTAACCGTTGCTGCGGTTCTAGACGCTGCTGGTAATTACTGTCTAAGGCTCCTGCACCCGCAGTAGGAAACGGGAGGCAGTTCGGTGCAATTGCCTGTTGCGCTTTCAGTCCCAGCACGGCGGCAAAGTACTTCTTTCGGCATTGAAATAGAGGATCCCATGGAGGCATGGAGATATCACTGGTATCAAAGATTCAAAGGCGAGTTGCGACGAGCTCAGCTACACGGCCCCGGCAGCAAAATAACCCTGAGTCTTGACTCATTCGCAGCAGACACTAGACTGCGCAGGCCACTCCAATCCCTCATGCCGCCTGCTCTTCTTAGCAGAGTCCTTGAAGCGTTTCCACGGAGTATGAAAGCCTTTAGCTGCAATAGTATCATGGGTCTTCTTGTAACGAGGGGAGAATATACTGCGGCAGCCGATATGCATGTCTACAGGTTCTGAAATGTTTTATTACGAAGTGAGGAGAGCTGAGCGGCTACTTCGAGACGGGTAAGAAAACGTTTTAGGAGAAAACGAATTAACTTAGATTCAGTTATACGCAAGTAAACAGCTTTGGGAAGAAGAGCGGCCCCACCGAGCGCAGGGGACACACAGAAGCTAAAGACTCTTTGCACCATTAGAGCTCCCTGCTTTTGCAGTGTGGCTGATGCAGGCGAGCTCCACTTAGCCATATCTTTGTTGGTGACTGAAGGCAGCTGCTGTTGCCGCAGCAGCTGAATTTGCTTCCAAAGCAGCAGCAACGCAACTTTTAAAGGGGTAAGAATGGCAGCTTTTAAGAGGGCTACGCACGCTTCCCTTACTGCCTGTTTCAGCGTTGTCTGTCTGGCTAATGACCGCCCCTAATGTGTGACTGTGCTTCATCCTTCCCTCTCAGTCTGTATCAACCTTTAAATATACGGGAGACGAGGAAATGATGACTGTCTTGAAAGCACTTCCTCACGCAGAGGGGCAGATGCATGCGCCTCGTTTGTCTAGCGCAAAGCCCCAGACTTCGCATACGCCGCTTCTTCCAGCCAGCAGGTCCTCACTCTGTACACGCAGCAGCAAACAGCCAACCGAAGAGAGAAGAAACATGAAAAATATGAATTTCGCTCAGCCCCGGATAGAAGCAGCGCTTAGACAAGACAAATAGCTGCAAATTCCGCGATTTAAGAAGCACAAGTCAAGCCCCTTTCGCTTTCAACTCAGCCCCAAATCAGGCCAGATGAATAAAGCAAGCTACTCAGCACACGGCAAACTAGCCAGGTAGGGTGAGATCAGCTTGCCGCACAAATGACTGGCGTGTTTCTTACCCCGAAAACCGCATTTATGACTTGCGGCTCCGCGCATTCGCTGTCTTCAGCTTGGGGTAGACGGAATATTCCAGAGAGTGAAGGGCCGCCAGCATTTTCTGCAGCAGCAGCAGTGGCAGGAAACCACGAAAGCCCGCATTAAGAAGTGCTGCAGAAGCTCTGTGGGGCCCCAGGGAAAGGAAACATGTGCAAACAAAAAGGAAACCCGCAGCAGACAGAAGTGCGCGCCTAAGTGTTTACTGACCGCTGCGGAAGTCACAAGTGCCGTGCAAGTGCATAGCCCAGAGCCGCTTGCGCTTCACAGCCCTCACAACTCCCTCGCCGTCCGAGGCTGCTGCCTCCCCCCCCTCTGCCTTCGTCTGGGGCTGCAGCAGCACATCGACAGCCCCGCAGCCGCCAACCAGCAAGAAGACGCGGCAGCGGGGAAAGGCCTGCTGCAAGTGGCTCCGCAGCGACGCCTTGCCCCCTTGCATTTGAACTCGCACGAGAGAGCAGCCCGCCACTAGTGCTGCAGGGGTTGTGGCAGCAGAAGGAAGCGGGGGGGAACTGGCGCTGCTGCTGCACAGCGTAGTGGGCTCGGTTTTCTTCTTTTGTTTGCGGGCTGGTGCTTCGCTTTCTGAAGGTGCGGTGTCAGTACACCCTGCATCGTCCACGGACTCACGTTTTCTCTTCGATTTCTTGCCCGATCTTGACTTGGCTGGAGCAGCAGCAGCTGCTGCTGCTGCTGCTGCTGCCGCCTCTGCTTCTGATTCCCCATCTGACTCCGCCTCTTGGGTGTCGTTCGCTGCCCTTATGATGCTGCAGGCGGTGTCTGTAAGCAAGAGGCACACGAAACTGGAGGCAGCACCTCAAGGGCAACAGCATAACCTTCAAACGCAGCAGCAGCACGAGGTGCAGCAGCAGCAGGCGGGCGTGGCTTTCGTTGCGCAGCATCTTAAGGCCAACAGCACAAACTTCAAAACTCAGCAGCAGCAGGAGGTGCAGCAGCAGCAGGCGGGCTTGCCTTTGGTTGCATTGAGAGTTGCTCCTTTCACGAAGTTGGCGTATAGGCCGCTGCACGCGAACAAACATAGCAGCAAAAGAGCAACGAGAGAAATAATAAAAAACGAAAAATAAATAAATAAATAAAAGACCAGAACACAAATGCAGATGCAGGCAACCTTCTGGCGGCCCAGCCCACAGAAACGGAAACTCGACGGAAATTCAGAAACCCAGAAGCGGCAGAGTGACAGAAACAGAAAAGCAAATAAGAACAGAAATAACAGCAGAAAGATCAAGTGCACACACAGAATGGTAACAATTAAAATTAATCAAAAAGAGAAGAAACACACCTGGAACTCTGCGGTTTCCCGTCTTCATTGAACATAATGTGGTTGTTCTGAGAAGCCTTCTCAGAGGCGACACCCCCAAGGCCGCCTTTGCGGCCCCGCCGGTTGTTGGCCTGGCTGAGGCCATCGTGGAGCTGCTGCAGCAAATGAGACTCCATTGGGGCTGAACTTTGCTGCTCTTGCTACTGCTGCTTCTCCTGGTGCTGCCCTCCTTGCTGCTGCTGCTGCTGCAAGCAGAATAAGCGAGAAAAAGGAAGCCCCTGTAGGCTCCCGACCTCCACTCTCAGGCGCTGCAGCAGGCCAGGTGGCAGCAGAAGATCCTCAGGCCAAGAGAAGAGAGGCCATGAAACAAATTGCAACAAGTCGAGGGCTGGCTGGGGTTGCACACTCTTGCTTAGCAAGTCAGACTGGTCCGCGGGCCGTGCTGCTGCATGTGTTATAGCTCTCAGGCTGCTGCAAGTGGATTATAAATAGTTAGTTTGCGCCAAATGGAAAGAAGTCTGGTGCGGAGGCAGCGGCTGCTGTTTCCCTCCACCTCCCCGTGAGTGAGATCTCTTCAAACTCAAATATCAGGGACAAAAAGCCTAAAAATCACAAATCAAAGCTTATTGAGGAGTTTTCTTCTAAAGATTTACAGGCGAAGCGGAGTACGAGGCTTGGGCCCCAGCACATGCAACACAAGGCTTTGTGGGGCCCCACAAAAACATGTTTGCGGCTTTCTCTGGAGCCTGGAGGCCTTCTTCTAAGCCATTGCTCGTTTAAGATAATGAGAGGTAATTTTACATAAGAAAATAACTCGGGCGTGAGACCACAATTTCGTGCATCCGAGAGCCTCAGCGCGCTGTCGACAGGACGTAGAAAATAAACGTTTCAGCGGCCAGAAGTTTAGATTTCGACACTCAACGCTTAATACTTTTAGCACATTACTTAATCGGTATAAGGAGATTTTTCATATCAGGCGCAGAAATGGGATCTCTACCAACGAGCATGATACTTCGCCGCTCCCTGTGTAATGCAAGTCCCGCCAGTTACTTCCATAAAAGCAGCGTTGTAAGTATGAGCCTCACGGAGATTATTATTTTTACGGCCACGCTTGGCTTGTCTTCAACGCTTTTCGATTTTGTACCTAGAAAATATGTAAGTGCCTGTGTTGATTGCCTCCTTTTCAGCCCACGGTGAACTACGCTTCCACTTCATACTACTCTAGCACGAAAACACAGCATTTCTTTCACGTGGGAGATGTTATGGCTGTCTGAGTTGGAAGAAAACAGAGGCTAAGAGAGGCTGTGTTGCCTTTGATGTGCCAAAAGTTGGAGATTTAGAGTACTAAAATCTAAAGCAAAGTTCGCGAAATGCTTCTCTACGCTGACATGGACGGTCTATACGTGAAACAGCACTCTAAGAGCAATGGCGGTAAAGATGAATTCCGGGCCAATGGCCTATTTTTGAAAGGCAGATGAGTTTGCCTGTTGCCAGAAGATGGAGTGTGCGAAGACACAAACAGTTAAGGGCTCCATGCCTTCTGTAAATGCAAATTGAATTGCCGAGTGCGAGTTACTACACAAGAAACGCAGACTGTTGATTAGGCCCTTGCCTTCTTGCGCTGTATTCAGAAGCGTACCTAGTGAGGGGGAGAAGCACAGTGCATATATATAATAATAACTCATCCAGAAATGGCTTTATGAGCTTGAGTAGACTTTTAATTTGGTTGTTGATTCATAGTCAATACAGATTGCAAGTACGGCGAAGCCTTCACTGCCTGCTTTACTGCGTAATTGCGGAGTGCTCCCCATGTACTGCAAAGGCACCAATTAGAAGTAGTCCACTTCGGTTTTATGAGTTTCCCAACTTCAGGAAACCCAAATTCACAGTATTTTTTAGTGGTTGAATCACGTGAAGCTTTTAGCAAAAAGTTTTTAAAGCCATCTTGAGGCAGGGTTGCCTTCCTGCCTGAAGGCAGTGTAATCTTAGGAGCTGCAAAGGTGTGGGGTTCTTCTCATTCAGTTGTCCTCACTGTTGCAGCAACAAGAAACAAGAGGGCTATAAAGGAGCCGCTTTGGTAGATGTTCCCCCGACACCACAGCGATAGCAGACAACCACAGGCTCAAGCTACGTGAAGTGTAGAAGTGTGAGAGTGAGTTTCGCTGCCTTAATGGCTGTTTTGTATCATCGCTTGGACTTACGGTGTTGGGTTTCCACGTGTACACGATGAAGTATAGGACTATGTTGATGAACAAAACGTCAGACACACAAGAAACCTAACACGAGTAATCATGAGTAATCATGAAAGCACTCACCTGCACAACTGGCTTTCTCGAATGTGGTTCTGCAAGATCTGCCAGTTTCATTTCTTGCGGCTGGTGCGGTATGGTAGCAGCTTTCTTGTGCTTGTGGGGGCGCAATGCACACAAGCAAAGTCAGGTTCCCTTAGATCACATGATTAGTGTGAGTTCCACTGCTACCTACGCGGAATTCTAATTGAGTGTAAGCACAGGTGAGACGTGCATAGTTCATTGGGGCCTTCTGCATAAGAATGCGAAGAAGATCACCGCCTCGAACCCTTCGTGAAGCTCAAAGGGAGACTGAACAGACGGGAGACGCTCGTGCAAGACCCCCTGCAGTGTCTTCAGAGTCCAAATAACTATGAGTCTTGAGCCATCAGCTTACAAACAGAAATAAACATCTATGCCCGGACATGGAGGCTGTGCCCTTGCGAACTAGAATAGAGCCGACAGCTACTGTAGTTTCGGCAATCGGCATGGGTCTTGCAGTTCCAGCTGTGGGTGTTTAAGGTTCTTTCAAAGGACCTCTAAGTATGAAGGCAGAACTGGCTAAACTGAAGGAGTTTATCAGAAGGAGGCAACTGTGTGCCTGTGCAGACACATATTAGTGCCCTCTTTAGTGCATCTAGCAGGCAGAGAAGACCATGCAGGCCGGTCAGCCTCCAGTTTCGCAATGGAAGTGCACTGTTGCAGCTTTTGCGTCTTTTGTTCACAAGAGATACGACGCAAAGCGGCAGTAATAGCAGAAGCAACGGCACCAACTGAAGTAACACTCGCGAAAACGCCAATAGCGACGGCAAAAGTCGAAAATGAACATAGTACTGTGAACAATGGTTCAACGACAGCGCAGAAAGGGTGCCTACCCTTTCAGTTGAATAGGGTGCGCAGCTCTGCTATTCTTCCCCCATTAATTTGACTCGAGTTTGTACAGCCTGTGCAGCAGGCAGCTCTTTGTCACTAAGGGGGAACCCTAGACTTCTTAACAAGTAGCACAAAGAAACTGAATTGCTAAGGCACATTAGCTCTTGACGTTTCCAATATCTGTCCCAATTTTGTACATTGCGACACCTTTCTCGCCGTTGGTGAGGCGGAAGAATTAAATCAATTATCAAAAAGGGCTTAGAATGCATGCAGATTTAGGACTTTCTGTTGCTAAGAGCTTTTCTGTAGTTTCTTGGTGCTTTTCTGCTGATTTGAACTTGGCGTGGTCACTTCCTCCTCTCCACACACGTGGCACAAGTGCGCAGGCCGAGACCTACTGCATGCGGTGGCAGTTTGGCAAATGTAGCAGATTCATTAAAGATAAAACAATAAATAATACTTTTTTTGCAGAGGAACGGAAAGATCAGGATATAGTGGCTCACGCCAGTGCAGACCAGTGGTTGACGCCACTCATCGAAGCCCCAAGCCAAGCCATTGGTTCGAATCCGATTTCTTCTGAAACAACCAGTTAACCAAATATAGACTTCGTCATTGAGTTTTTAGTTTTAATTTATTTTGAGTCGTAGGGGGTAGACGGAGTCCAGCGAGGCTCGCAGAACGGGCAGCAGTTGCTTCCTCTTCCCAGGTTGTAGAGAAAGCTGCAACGAAAGCACCACTGACTGCAGTTTTTGTCCTTTTCTTACGTTGAGTCTTCGGTATTGAACTGAAAGGATTAGTTTGTTTGGGCCCTACCATGGCTCTGGGTGAGCTAGCAGCTGAGTCGGCGGCTCGGGTCTTGTCTTTCTTTCTTCAGCAGCTAAGTTCAAACGCATGCAAAAGTAAGATATAATGGATTCACGCAGAGGCAGCCCTCCCCGAATTTCTTCTCCTTTGTCCTCAAGTCGGCCCAGCGGCTCCTCTCCTTCTTCTTTTTTATCCAGTTCAAAACCAAGTGCTCGGACGCCCGGCAACGGAAATGCCAACTCTAGCCGCTACAGCAGAAGTAGCCTCCGTAGCAGCAGCAGCAGTAGCAGTAGCAGCAATAGCAGCAGCAGCAGTAGCAGCAGCAGCAGCAGTTCGTCCGGCTCTTTCTGTGAGTCACACCTCCAAATGCCCTTCTCATTAACTTTCGCGTGTCTCACATGCCTCTCTACTTTCGCCTTCATACGTTGCTGCTTCCCTTAGTACTGCCACTGTCGCTGCCTTCAGTCTCGCTGCTGCTGCTGCTGCGGCTGCTGCTGCTGCTGTTGGTTGATGCTGCTGCTGCTGCTGCTGCGAATTGTCTGATCACTGCTCCTACCTGCCATTGACGTCGGGTTCCCACTGAGCTCCTGTTGCTTTCTTTCATGGAAATAATTAAATTTAGAACTAAGTCTGCATGGAAATCTTTAATGCATAGAAAGCGAACTTGACCATTTTAAAGAATTGCTTTGAAAGTGACAGCAGCTTCTTGATTCCTTTTCCGTTTCTGTTGCTTCCTGCTGTTGCTACCAGCAGCAGAAAGACCAGCATTCTTTGACGAAATTCTTTTTCAAAGAGAGGCATTAAAGGGTTTTTCTTATTCGTTCTGAATTTAATCTTTGAATTAACTTTTGTTTAAATCTATTTGTTTGCTTCTGCTGCTGCTTCTCAGTTGCAAACGCTGCTGCTGCCCGCGCCGCCGGCCTCGAGGACCCAGGGGGCCCCGACTCTGTCTACGGCGCCCACATTTCTGTCTTGTGTTTAAATGCTTATCTTGTCCCTCCAGTTGTCTCTTGGAATCCTTACTTGTGGGCCCCCTTTTGGAGCTGCAAGAGGCCCTTCGAGAGGGCGGAGCAGGTCTGCCAAATTAGCTGCAAGGGCCTCTACATTTTAAGCATTTTTAGTCCGTTGCTGCTGCATGCAGTAGAGGAGCTTCTACGTTTAAAGCATTTTAAATTAATTGCTGTTGCATGCAATAAAGAGGCCTCTGCATTTAAAGCAATTTAAGTCAATTGCTGCTGCATGCAGTAAAGGGGCCTCTACATTTAAAGCATTTTAAGTCAATTGCTGCTGCATGCAGTAAAGGGGCTTCTGGATTTTGGGCATTTTTACTCAGTTGCTGCTGCATGCAGCAAAGGTGTCCTTCATATTTAAAGCATTTTAAGTTAGTGCTGCTGCATGCAGTGCAGGGGCCCTGCTTATCTTAAGCATTTTAAATCAGTTGCTGCTGCATGCAGCGCAGGGGCCTTCTATATCTCGAGCGCTTCAAATCAATTGCTGCTGCATGCATTGTCAATACTTCTCCTCGCCAAGAAGACTCCTGCTTTTTTTTGTCTGTCTTCACTTATATCAAAATTTTCGCCACCAGTTTGTGATTAGTGTGGCCACTTCATTTATTTTATACTTTTTCCCCAAATATGAATGTGCAGGTTTTCACGTTCAAGTACATTTTGTTATCTTCTTATTTGTGCGGACTCAAACTTGCATTTTATTGTTTATAATGACTCTGCTGCAGCTTTGAGCCTCTTGCTGCTGCTGCATGCGCCTGCCAGTGCATGCGTCTGCCTGTGCATGCATGTGCTGGCGCATGCATGTGCTGGTGCATGCGTGTGCCTGTGCACGGTGCATTTGTGCATGCGTTTGTGCATGCGTTTTACATGCGTTTCTGCATGCAGATAGGGCGTTTGGCGGCGCAGTACGACGTGGTGTGCTTGCAAGAAGTTTGGGGGGCGAATCTGCAAGGATTGAACTCAATGGTGCTGCCAACTCACAGCATTTTGCCGGAGACGCAGTCGAAGGGTTTGGGGGCTTTGGTGAGCGAGGTGGTGGACCCGGTGTGTCTGTACACCCGAAAGACCGGGGGCCTCTGGTTCGCATGGCGAGTTTCGAAGTGCCGCTTTTTGGGAATGGAGCGGCAGCTGTTTGGCGCAGCAGCTCGCGTGCCGTTTTCAAATCAAAATGTAACTTCTGTGGACTTGGATGTCAGTTCAACTTTTCCTGGAAAGCGACTTGTGCTCATCGGCACGCACTTCAGCGTGCTGGGCCGCCGGCCCCGCAGCGAGAACCTCCGCCAGCTAGCCAGCTTCGCGAAGCAGCTGGCCTGGAAGCAGTACCTGCACTGGCTAGCCAGGCAGCTAGCTGGCACCGCCGGCAGCAGCAGCAGCAGCAGCAGCAGCAGCGCGCCCCCCTCCTTCGTGGCCGACACTGCTGTGCTGCTGCTCGGGGACTTCAACATGGACCCCACGCGCTGCCCCCGGGACTACAGAAAGCTCTGCACTTTGGGGGGCTGCGGAGTTTTGCGGGACTTGTTTGCTGCTGAAAACAATCCGAACTTTGCTTCGCAGTTCACGCAAATGTCTCAGGAAGGCGGGCAGCAAATAAAAACGAAAAGCGGAAAAGTCCACTTCGCCGGAAACAGCCTCTTTCCCTGGCCCTATCGAGGTGCGCACACTTGCTGCACAGCTCTTCTCCAGACACTTCTGCTGCTGATCTGCAAATGCTTCTTTTGCTTTTGCATCCGATTCAACTCTTTCTTTTTCTCCAAGTGTCTTCTGCGGGCTGTGAAAGTGGGACGCGCAGCTTTGCTGGCGCTGCTGCTGCTGCTGCTGCTGTTGCTGCAGCTGTTGCTGCAGCTGTTGCTGCTGCTGTTGCTGCTGCTGTTGCTGCTGCTGCTGTTGCTGTTGCTGCTGTTGCTGCTGCTGCTGCTGCAGCTGCTGCTGGTGGTATGTCTTGTGCTGCAGGGCGGGTGGATTACATTTTTGGGGTGGACAGTGTCTTTCTGGAGGCGGACGAAGTTTTGTCGTTAGTTGAAAAGTTTCCTCCCGAAGAAGTTGTGGGGCCGGAGTTTGAAGAAATGGATATTCCCATTTTGAAGGAGGGGGGTTTGGTGGTGACTTTTGAGAAAATCCACTGTCTCGGTGAGTCCCAGCAGCAGCAGCAAAGCAGCACTTTTTGAAAATAAAAAAAGAAAAACAAATCAATTACTCAGTACACAGAAACGCATGCAAGCCCATGCACAGACAGACACGGCTGTTGCTGCCGCTAGAAAGTGCTGCACTGCAGCAGCAGCGGCAGCAGCAGTGGCTGCAGTTTTCCGAGCTGCAGCTGCTGCGTGCTTTCCGTGTGCCGCGTGTTGCAGTGTTTGCTGCGCTGTATTTGCTGCCACTGCCATTGCCACTGCTGTTGCTGCTGCTGCTGCTGCTGCTGCTGCAGGGATGGACATAATTGCGCAGCGTTACGGGCAAGAACTCTCAGACCACTGGCCCCTGTCTGCCCGCCTGTGCATTGGGGCCCCCCAAGTTCGAAAAGAAGATTTGCCGCGGCCGGAGAAGCAGCAGCTGCTGCGGGGGCCCTCGCTGTGTCTGGACCCTTTCAACAGGGGCCCCCGGGGACCCCGGCAGCCAGTGGCCAGTGTGGAAGCTGAGAAGCAATTAGCTGCTAATCAGCTGGCAGGATGGAGGCAAACTAGGGCCCCCTCTACTCTGACGGTTTCTCCAGAAGTGAGGAGGCTGCAGCAGCAGCAGCAGGAGAGAAGACGTGCAGCGGCCGCTGCTGCTGCTGCTGCTGCAGCCGAGGCAGCAGCAGCGGAGGCTGCGCAGACTGCGGACTGGGAAACGCAGCAAGAAGAACTGCAGCAGCCGCAAGACCTGCAGCAGCCTGATGCTACGCAGCAAGAAAGCAGTTCAAGTTCAGAGTCTGAGGCCCCTAGCCCACAAACAGCAGAAGCAGCGGAGGCTCCGCTGCAGCGGGAACCCAGCGCTGCGCCTGCTGCTGCGCCTGCTGCTGCGCCTGCTGCTGCGCCAGGTTTGTCCTTTTCTCTTTTTGCACTTTTTACCCTCTGCTGCTCACCAAAAGGGAGTTCTGTGTGTCGGGGGTGCACACGGGAAACACTTGAACGCGAAACGAGTTGCTGCTGCAGCATTTTGCTGCTGCCGCTGCTGCTGCCTTTGTTTCCTGCTTTTCTGCAGGACGAGCCAAAGAAAAGGGAGTGCCTCTCGCAGCCCGAAGAGCTCTTGCTGCAATGAATGCCAGACGCAAACCTCAAAGAATGTAAACTCAGCTCCGGGTGTATGTACACAGCAGTGCGGGCGCTGGGCGCGGCAGCCGCGGGTGTCTGTACACCGCAGTGCCAGGTGTTTGTACACTAGACTGTGAGGTGCATGTACACTGGACTGCCAGGTGTATGTACACTAGACTGCCAGGTGTATATGAACTAGACTCGCAGGTGTATGTACACTAGGCTGCCAGGTTTATGTACACTAGGCCGCCAGGTGTATGTACACAAGACTTTCAGGTGTATCAGGTGTATATGAACTAGACATGCATGCACACTAGCCTGCCAGGTGGATGCACACTACTAGCGCGCCAGGTGTATGTACACTGGACTGCGCGGTGTATGTACACTAGACTGCGAGGTGTATGTACACTAGACTGCCGGACGCAGGGGAGGTGTGTTATTGAGGGAATCTTTTATTCTTTGTGCTGTAATGACAGAAAGTCTTGAATGTGCACTTTCCTAATTAGATTCTGATGTACACCTCAGTACAAGAGGTGCGCGTACAGCTCAGCGGAGGTGTACGTACAGCTCAAATGCTATGTGTGGGCACGCATCTCAGCACCAGGTGCAGCTGCTGCTGCTGCAACTGCTGTTGCTGCTGCTGCAAGTGCTGCTGCTGCTGCTGAAAATGCAGCTGTCTGTCGAAGTCTCGGGGTCACGCCCGTGCTGTCGCGCTAACTAAAGCGTGGGGTGTACGTACACCTGGACGCAGCCCGCAGCGTCTGTACAGAACTAAACAGGCCAAGTGAGGCCAGTTTTTTGCATTTAAAGAATCGGCACTAGTGGGAGCTCAGAGGTCTTCCAGCAAAGAAGCAGCAGTGCTGGAGGCGGTCTGTGCAGATACAGACGGAGCCACGCCGCGGCTTTGCTGCAGCGGCTCAGCAGCAGCAGCAGCAGCAGCAGGGCGTTCTCGCTGCGGCCCCTCTATGCCTTCGATTAGCCCATTCAAAGGCCCCGGGGAAAGAACAAAACTTGCCGGGGTTCGAACCCCCGAGGCTTCCAAAAGGGCCACAGAATGACCAAAGTGCTGCGCCGGACTCTTTGGGACTTCTTCCTTAACTTCGAGGTCTTGTGGGGAAATTACCTGCGGGCAAAAAGACTGGACCTAGCCACCTTATTTGCTGCTTGCATGCATGCACTCAGCGGCAGAACGAGCTGCTGCTGCTGCTTGCATGCATGCACTCAGCAGCAGAACGGGCTGTTGCTGCTGCTTGCATGCATGCACTCAGCAGCAGAACGGGCTGTTGCTGCTGCTTGCATGCATGCACTCAGCAGCAGAACGGGCTGTTGCTGCTGCTTGCATGCATGCACTAAGCAGTAGAACGGGCTGCTGCTGCTGCCTGCATGCATGCACTCAGCAGCAGAACGAGCTGCTGCTGCTTGCAAGCGTGCTGCAGGTGCAGCGGCTGCTGGCATGCATGCAAGCAGCAGCAGGGGCTGCTGCACCTGCTGAGAAAAAGACAAGACAGGGAAAGTGCTGCTGCAGTGCTGCTGCAGCAAAACTCACTCCCACAAGAGAAGCAGAGGGGGATGACTGAGTCAAAGGCTGCGGGTCAATGGGGCCCCCCCGGGGGGCCCCCCGCTTCCCCCCGAAGCTGCTGCGGGCGCATGCAGCAAATGTGCTGCTGCAGTTCTCTTTGCGGCTGCGCCGCAGCGAAGCAGGCAGCCAGCTGCTGCTGCGTCTCGCCCCTGCAACAGCAGCAGCAGCAGCAAGCCAATGCTGCACCTGAGACACGCCGTGCCCAGACACTGCGCTCCAGCCAACCACTTGACAGCTGCAGACACAAGCAGCAGCAAGCAGCAGCAACAACGCATGCAGCAGCAGTACCCACTTCTGCCGCAATCTAACCAGGGGGCCCCAGGGACCTTAGGGGCCCCGGGGGACCCAGAAGCCTCAGGGGCCCCACGGGACTCAGGGGCCCCCAGGGTCCCAGTGGCCTCAGGGGCCCCAGGACCTCAGGGGCCCCAAGAGCCCCAGGGGCCCCTGAGGCCCTAGGGGCCCCAGGGGGCCTAGGGGCCCCAGGGGGCCTAAGGGCCCCAGGGGCCCCCGAAACCCTAGGGGCCCCTGGAGGTCCAGGGCGCCCCTGGGGCCTCCCGGAAAAGACATGAGCAGCCCCATGGGGAAGGAGATGCATGCAAAGGAGAATCGTTGGAGAAATAAGTCCGGCCCCGGGGCGAAAAAACAACACAAAAAAAAGAATAAATAAAAATGGAGACAAGTAGAACAACGAAAGAAAAGGAAGTATTTAAAAATGAAGAGATTAAAGGAGCTGCAGAGTTGAAAAGATTAAAAGTGGAAATAAAAAAAAGAAAAAAAGAAATCTGGAAAAGTGCTGACGTTCTTTTGACTTCGTCGGGAAGAGCCAAAAGCTCCTCCACTTCTGCAGGCCTTTTGGCCGAGCTCAAGTCCTGAGAAAAATAAAAATAAAAATAAAAATAAATAAAACTAAAAGTGGATATAAACAAAAATAAATAAAAATAAAAACTTGCAAGAAGGAAGTGGGAATTAGCGACTCCGCCCGGGAGGTGTACAGACACTCGGACTCAGGGGGACACACTGCCAGTAGCGCGCATGCGTGCAACGTGCATGCATCTTGCATGCAACATGCATGCAATGCGCATGCAACGTGCATGCATCTTGCATGCAACATGCATGCAATGCGCATGCAACGTGCATGCATCTTGCATGCAACATGCATGCAATGCGCATGCAACGTGCATGCATGTTGCATGCAACGTGCATGCAATGTGCATGCAACGTGCATGCATGTTGCATGCAAGATGCATGCACGTTGCATGCGCATGGCATGCATGTTGCATGCTAGATGCATGCACGTTGCACGCATG